ATATATGTATAAATACATGTATGTATAAAATCTATCCTTCTACTGTAGGTGCATTCCTCGGTCTCATATTACTTATTCATTGTATAACTACACCCTAACTTTCCCTCTCCATCTGTTTTCAGCAGCTTACCCGGCTCAGTTCTCATCCATCCCTCAGGAACGTCACTGTGTTCACTTATTAAAAGCATTTAAATGGGCGAGGACTGTATGAAAACTGACAGATGGCATGCTGAATAAACCCTTATATTCTATAAGGCTCCTCTTACATGCATGTATAGGAGGCTAGCCATGGAACACAGGTACCCAGGGAGTCCACCAGATGTTTGATAGGCTCACCTGCAGGCCCGCTGCGTGTTGGCAGTAAAATCCATGCGCTACATATGCTGCAATTATACCACAGGGAAATAAAGCGCTATAATAATGAAGCAGGCAGGAAACATGAGGAGGAAAATCAAACAAACCTGGTTTCCTTTGCAAAAACACAGTCTCTTTCTTTCCGTCTTTAATTTGGATTTCAGTTTGAGTAAAATGAGATGAGTGCTCTTACTGTAAAGTAATTAGTTTCTACTTTTCATCTTCAGTTTAGCTGACGAGAGAGGTGTTTGTGCTCCAGTAGGTGGTGCTGGACGCATAATCAGACTTCTTATCTTGACTTCATTATTGAAGTCAGTGTTAAAACACAGAGCTTATACCTGTGTAAATTGCGCAGGAAATTAAGCCATAAAAACAGTCTCTCCATAAAATTATAAGCTTTTCAACAGCAGTTACTTCAGGTGGAAGGATTAAATGTCCCACCGCTTTTTTTCTGGATCTTTACAAGCTAGACCTGCTCGTTTTGCACACGTGGAGCACTCTGGCAAGGCGTGGGGTGTAATTAAGCTGCAGGCATTCATCCTCCATGGTTTTCCTCTGACTTGTGCACTAACAGGATCCATAAAGGCACAAATTGATTTCACCTATCAATGCAGTCATTGTTTAACATGACGTAGCTCATATGTTGTGCATGTGTGTTTAATAACCGGGGACCTCGCTGGATCACGGCGTGCAGGCCCTGCTTCTCGGATTACTCTGCTTGAGAAACTGACCATTTCATCCCCTCAGCATTTGTTGGATTTTTCTCACAAAGGCGATGAAATGTGTTTGCAAAGGAAGTGCTGGTGTATTCACGTCCTCATCTGCAGTGACTCAAAACAACAAAAAGTATTAATCACAAGCAAATTTGCAGAATAATTCATTACCAGTTTTGTGCTGATGAGCAAACACAACACCACCCACGTTAATTGCTGTGACCCCAGCAACCCCCCAAAAGGAACATTGTTTGTCCAGCGTGAGACACTGTATAATTTACACTCACTAATGACTTGGAAATACAGGCTGAAGGACCATGTCTGTCCCTAACTTGGCCCTTATTCAATGCTTGCCTTGGACTCTTCTAATGGACAGTCCATTTGTACCTCAGTGAATTCTTATCCCTCAATGCATGCCCATAATTAAATTGCAGTGTCCTCTCCTGGTTTGATAAACAATTCACTATTGGCTGCAGAATCTCCACCCTAATCAAAACAACAACAAAGTGATTCAGCGTTGTTATGTGTGCGCCTGAGGTTTCCAACGATTCTCTGGTGAAAAGGCGTGACGTGAAGAAAGACATATTACTATTGCCAAAGGGTTGACCTTGACCTTCAAACTCAATCTGGCTGTTAGAGCTGCCCCTCCCCAGCACCCCTGAGATGTAAAGAGGCTGACAGGTTTGACCCCTGATCCCATTTCTTAACTAGGCTGAGGTTCCAAATAACCTTTTGACCCAGGAAGCAGGTTGCCCGAGCAACCTCAGATTTAGCAATGATTGACAAGTTGATACAGTTTTTTTTCTTTTTAAAAAAGATGGACAACCGCAACTCCTAAAAGTGCAGAATCTGTAGTTTTAATTTGTCCGATTTGCTCGGAGATAATGGACAGTTTAAATATTCTATTGTACTCTCGGCACATTATTATGCCAAATAAGTACAGAATAAATTTCCCTTAGTAAATGAATGCTTTACATGGAAATGAATGAACGAATTCAATGGATGGACGTGTCATTATATCAGATGGAGGTCTATGTAAATGACCATGTGCAGATCTGACATGTGGTGCAAATCACCAAAACACCAGAGCCCGCCCGAGATCATGACAGGAATAAATCTGGCTCTTTAAGGGGACGCCTTGTGTTCTGTGACATAACCCTTAATCCAGACCCCAAATACATTTGTAAGAAAGGGACCCACTCGGAAAAAAAAGAAACCTTGAAATGTTTTAGTTTTGCTAGTTAAATGCAGGGGTGGGCCATTTCATTATGAGTGACCCAGGGGAATCTAAGGTTACCATCTGTCCACTGGCCACCATTACAGATTCTTGTTTTTATATGCAAATGTATCTGTTTTCCAACCTTAATGTAATCACACATGTAACTGAATAGATAACTGACAGCCTTCAAGCAGACAGGCTGAGGATGGCTGTCAGTTTACTACAGACATGCTGCTTTTATTAAAATAAATGTTAGGGGGGGTTTTGTTTTGTTTTTTAACATTGTCATGCTGTAAAATGAACACCAGGTATCTCTCTCGGTTTAGATCACACTGTTTCTGTAAATTATGGGCACTTTTCCAGGTGTTTACAATCTAACATAGTAACTATAGTTTTCCCCAAAGAACCTACAAACTATTACATCTAGAATAAGAAGTATCCTTTCAAGAGTGCAACCCTTTTTAACTAATTCAGTGCTTCTGTTTATTTGTGCCATGCAGGCCTATCACAGTCGTTGGCTTTATGATCCATTACAAAGCATGAAGTAGTGCATATGTGCTTTCTGATGCCTTCACAATGCACTGTTTATTTTTATATTAGAGGGGAGAAAATCCCACTTTTACTGAAGCTTCTGTTTTCCTCTGAGTATTCATGAAAGCTGTTCTGAAACAGTAGAGAAAGAAAGCTGCAGAGTGATGCTGCAGATTCTCCTAATTAATTAATTCTTTGTTATCTTCTAAAGACCTCACATGACTCAGTTGGAAGGATGCCTTTTGTTTATTAGCAGCATATGAACAGAGCGTGCTGGTTTGTCCTTTTGATGATGATGGCGATTTTGCATTTGTACATCCAAAACACTGACCATTAAATTGCTACTACTTTATTTATTTATTTGTCTGTTGTTTTAGAAAAGATGATGATGAAAAAGAAAATCCATGCGATTAGAGGTGGAAAACCAGAATAAATATGAGTACTTTTTTGCATTTAGATTAAAATGCAAACACTCTTAATGCTGGTGAAACAACTGTCCACGTGTGCTTCAATAAATCTGACTCTCCTCTGTTTCACAGCGGAGCCTCTGGTGCAGGTGAATGGAAAGCCCAGCTGCTGCTTCTTCAAGTTCAGCCCCAAACTGATGTTCACCAAGGTGCTGAAGGCCCAGCTGTGGGTGTATCTGCGACCGCTGCAGCAGACCTCCACCGTCTACCTGCAGATCCTGCGACTAAAGCCAGTCACAGAGCAGGGCAGCCGCCACATACGCATCCGCTCCCTGAAGATAGAGCTCAACTCCAGGGTCGGCCACTGGCAAAGTATTGACTTTAAGCACGTGCTGCAGAACTGGTTCAAACAGCCCCACACTAACTGGGGGATCGACATCAACGCCTTTGACGAGAGTGGCAATGACCTGGCAGTTACCTCACTGCGACCTGGGGAGGAGGGACTGGTAAGGACCCTCAGACCTGTCCCTGGGATGGGGAGGGAAATCACTTTGTGCACATGCAAATTCAGATTTTATTCAAAGAAGGCAATTAGAAGATCATATTATTAGTCGATAAGTTGGTGTTAATAATCGAACAAAAAAGTGAAAGAAAAAGCTTGAAGGCAGTAATCCTGTGCATCATTTCTGCCTCTCCACATATTTTTACTTCTACAATAAACTCTTTGAAGCACGTAGAGTAAAATTTATACACAAAATATACCAGTCGCTAGTGAGGAGCCACTACAGCTATACCGTGTTTTTTTAATGATCCCCTTCCAAGTTTTACATATATTGTAATATTGTTTCCTAATATCAGATTAACATCAAGTACAACATCAGGATAAACATCCTGAGCAGACTGTAAAATAAAATAAAATAAAATAAAAACATGTGGTATCACAGAGACAAAGACATGACAAGTATATTTTAAAATATACAATAATGAGATAGGAAGAAAACACAGGGGTGTCTAAGCGGACGAAATTGGAGGTCCACAAAAAGGGGAGTGTATAATGCTAAAATCTAGAAAAACTGGGCTGACGACAGTGAGACAGTGATAGGTAATTATATTTTGTAACTTTATTAGTAGTAAAGCCTGATTTTAATAGGCTCTAAGACTCTAGAACAACTAAACAGCAACCTGAGCTCAAACATTACAGTACAACTAAAGCTCAGCATTACTTTAATGAAAGAAACACCAAAACATGCGGCAAAAACTTTAAGCAGTAAAAAACAAATAAATCCAAAATGCCCAAAAAAAATCCAAAACAACACAAAACTACCAGACCTTGAATATACCTCCTTACATTAAGAAATATCTGCAACCGCTCTGCAGCGGGTAGAACGGTTTTTGGTTGTTGTTTTTTTGTGAATCTGCATTAATTTTAAATCAAACAGAAAATCCTCGCCATGCAATCATAACATCGCAGTGAACTGCTGAAGGCCTTTGATGCTTTACTCCTGAGTTCCCCTACGTATTTTCTGTATGATTTCAAACTGTATTTAAATCATATCTATACTGGTAAATCTGGGTTCTGAAAACAGCCGTGACCACTCGAACGCAGCTGTTTCAGATCGGCCGCCATATTATGGATATCAACAAAGTCTAATGACGTCTAATGATACAAAAAGTTCTTTCTGCGCAAAATACTTTTCAGAAAATCTGATTTTTATTCCTTTAGTTTTAGGTAGAAATCTTTTTTTTTTCACTTTCTTAAAGATAACAACGCCAGTTAAAGGACTACTCCATTTAAAAATGATCCTGCTAGGACGAAAACATGTTTATTTGCAATGGTTCACCTTGGGGAAAATGTGAAAACTTTAAGTAATTAAGACTAATTTTTACCCAGTGTTCCTTTGAATACTTGGGATTTTTTCCACACTGCAAGTATGCTTCACTTTTTTCAATGCTAAACCTCTGATGTAATGGATGGAGCTGCTTCAACCTTAAACCTCAAAGGAAAACTCATGAACCATTAGTCTAGTTAGCAATCCCAGAGTTACTGCAACTGACAGTTACAACATCCCTGTTGGATTATGTAGGCCATCTATCCTGGTTAAGCAACACCAAATATTTACCAAGTGATTATTTGGGTCAGCTCTTCACAACACGTATCAGGGGTCAGCTCTGGTGTCTTGGCCAATAAATCGCTGCCTTCTGAGCACACAGCAGTGTGCTATATTATTCTTGGTAACCCAAGAAAAAGGAAAAGATCAAAAAGACATGCAAGTGTACAAAAATAAAACAAAACACAACAAGAAAGACATGAAAGAGTCAAACTCTGCTTCTTCCTGATCCTCTGGGTCTTTTTTCTACAACAAAAGCCCTAAAGGCCAGGCTGACATGGTCTCACCCCAACAGCCTTTCAGCTTATTTCCTCTTTTCAGTGTGCTCGAGCCCAGCTGGAATCACTGTGAGGAGAAGAAGGCTTTGTAAAACAAACATGATGGAGTAAAATATTTGATGTGCTCGCCTCTGCCCAAAGGTCAAGGTTATGGTAGCCTGCAGATGACCTCTTGGGTCATGAATCAAACCAAGCGTACAGAGTCAGCTATCGATGTTTGAATAGACCAGTTTCTCTCAAAGCCCATGGAGTCAGTGCTCAAATGGAAAGTTGTGTTTCCTATTCAAAGCTGACAAATTAATTCATACATTTTAGTTAATTATAAAATGACTATTGAATTTAATTCTTTTTCTTTTCTTTTTATACTTACAAGTGTGGTTTCTTTGTATTCTTTGTACTCAGAGTTCAGTAGAAAAAGAGTTAGGGGCTGAAAATGCTTGCCGTGTGAGCGAAGTGCTATGAAATCCATTTAGTTTCGTTAAAGTAGATCAAAGTCTTTGTAGAGAAAATATATTTGCTCTTACATTATTTAGTATCAGAGATTTCTACTTTCCCATCAGATCCTTTGCACACAGATGTCCAGATCACCACATGAATATTAATGATGGAGTTATAAACCGTATGTCACAGCATTGTAAATGTTTCATTTACGATAGAGTCAAGAGCCCATATGGTTTGTTAGATGAATTGAGCACCTGACATGGCACAAAGCTTACAGAATCTGCAACTGTGGTACAGGGACATGCTATTTGTACAATTACTAGACTTTTATTTCAGATATCAATTGCTTATTTTAGCACAGATATTACTAGTAACAATCATTAAAGTGCCTCAGTAAGACAGTATGACAATTGACAGTAAGTCATCACTGTATGTATACAGCACTCATCTTTATCAAGGATTTTATGACATATCTGTTATTTCTTCTGTGATTTTTAGGCTACATTTGTAACTCTTCTAATGCTCATCATGTTGCTATAACAAAGTGCAAATACTTCGTTACTGTGCTTAAGTAGAATTTTGGGGTATCTGTATCTGTACTCCCTACATTTTCAAACAAGTATCTGTACTTTCTACTCCTTACATTTGCAAAACAGACTCATTACTTATGGTTTTGACAGATTTGAGGGAAATTATTATTTCATGTCACTGCGAGCCCTAGAACATCAAACCAATCTGAGCCTTAACAGTAACACATGAAAAGCAGTCCTGTTAGTCTATTAGTCACTAGAGGATGTCGCATAAAAAGAGACAAAAGAGGTAAAACCACGTGTTATAATCAGGGGTTAAACTGTTTGTGTCCAGTTTTTTCCAGCTGCTGTATTTCGCAGGGAGAGAAAAAAACAGAGAGCTAACTTCACTCGGAGATGAAGAAAGAGAGGTTATATTTAAAAGTAAGGACTGCTCAGTGGTAGTCCTAGTGTTTTTAAAATAGGTATTGTGTCATTATGTTTTTTCAAATTGTGAGACCTGCTGCAATGCAGGTCTCTGAGGGAGACTAACTGTGTCATTTAAAGGTGGCATGAAAAAAAATCAGCAGTTTACTGCAGGATAAACAGATTAGTTTGCTGTACTCTGGTGGGTTCAAAGTAAAGAACAGTGTGTGTAACTGGTGCACAGTGGCTGTGGTGCTCATGGTCAGCGTTAGGTTACATCAAGTGTAGCAGAGATGAATTTGAAATTAAGCTGATGATGTTAAGACCCATAAAGACAAACATAAAGACTGTCATTGTAGAGAATGAAAATAGGCCAGGACAACTCATCTGCTTACATCTGGTTCAATTCAGTTGTGTAAATCCACAAGAAGCAGTAACACTCAGAGCAGTAGCAGACTAGATCAGCTGAAAACAGCCTGGACATTAACAAAATCCAATAGAGCTCTCAATAGAAATTATTGTGAGTCATGAGTCCCTTTCCCGATGGCGAGCCATTAGAACTGATTTTAGGGTTCCTCCACATGCTGAATCACACTTTAACCTCTTCCTTACTCATTTCCATTTTAGTACTGATAGTCTGTGCTTCTACTTAAGTACAAAATGTCTTTACTTTTGCCACCTCTGCAAATAACTACTCTGAAGTCACTTTGGTGGGTTTTTGTACTTAACTCACTGAATCCATTTTGTGGTGGATTGAGTTGGTGTGATTATTGGTGTCTTTATTTAAAATGCACTGACTGCCCCCTCCCTTGCATGAGGTGAGATGTTTGCAAAGGTTTTGGACATATATATTGTGAGATAAAGATAATAATATTCATTCAACATTTACAGACATGTATAAAATCTTGGCCATAGCTTACAAATCTGAAGCTGCACTCTCTCTAAAGGGCAGCAGGAGGCGACACCTTAGGTTGAAAAATGCATTGATAATATTCTGATCTCAGTCAGTGGCTTTAAATCTTATTTGTAATAAAGATGTTTTAGATTATGAATCCTTTTAGAGTGAAACAGAAGGTTAAGCAAGTAAGGGTGGGCCGATTCTCTGCCTGCAGCACCCTGCTTGTCTATGTCAGACTCTTTATTTGTTCTCAGTTCAAGATAATAAAGACATAGTTCAGGATTTTAGAAAAGAAGTTATTTTTTATTACCAAAGTTTGATTATAATATTTACAGTATTGAGAATATGAAACTGCTGCAGTTTAGCCTAGTGCAAAGATTGGAAGAAGGGAGAAACAGTTAGTCAGGCTTATTCCAGAAACAGATGTCCAAGGATGCTGATTAAAACACTGCTTTGTTCTTTAATTATGTTTTTATTCCCACAAATAAATAGAGGAAATAAACTAGAACAGAAGTAAACTGTTTCATCACAAATAGCAGACAGGCGTAACGACTTCCCAAAGTGTGGTTTTCTTTGTGTGGTTGAATATGCACTGCACAAAAATGACGTGTGGATGGATAAAATGTTCTAATCAGAGCTGAAGAAAGAAAGATTTGGTTGATTGTAAGAATCCAGTTGATGAATGGTGCAATTCCTATAATACATAGAAAATCCCAACAATCAGATGACTGCCTATGAGCAAACACTTGATAACAGTGAGAAAGAAAAACTTGGTTTTAACAGGACGAAACCTCCAGCAAAGCCGGGCTCAGGGAGGGGGAGCCATCTGGTGCAACTGTTTGGGGGTGTGGGTAGAAAGACAGGACAAAAGACACACACAGAGAGCCGGAGTTTGAAATTATTACTAATGATTACATTATTGAATTCAGAGTGTAAAAGAAATGCTCCGTGCATTATGTGGAACTAAGGGAGAATTTCTTTTATAATTTTTATCAGAATGTAAAAGCAGGAAATTAGAGGTCATCCAGGTCTATATGTCTTTAAGACATGTCTGTAGTTTAACTAATTGGTGTATGTCATCTGCCTTCATGTATAGATAAAGCTGGGTGTCATCTGCATAGCATTAAAAATGTATGCTATATCCTCTAACAATACTGCCCAAGAGAAGCATACTGTATATAATGCAAAAACATTCTCCATTCACATGAAAAAAAATAAAATAAAATAAAATAAAATAGATATGATTCATTTAGAAGTATATTCGAAATATCAGTTATCATTGCTGTATGGTAATAGGTTAAAAGAGTTGGTTGCTGTCCAGCTAGACTGACTGAGATGAGTTAAAACAGTTAATAGCACTAACCCCCAGTCACACAGGGCAAGAGTTGGTTTTACAGTACCTGGCAACCACCAGGTATTGTGGTTGCCAGGTAAAATGAGCATTCCCCAACCAGTTGTGAATTGTTGCTGGCAGTTGATGGCTAAAGCCACAATCATGTAGGCAACTTTTTCTTTGAAGGCAAAACTTCTTTATTTCTGATAGTGTCACACTTTTTACGATTTCACAAGAACTTGTACAGTAGCTGGACAGTTTTTGTAAGCCCTTCACTTCCATTCAAAGTATGATGGCAACTATATGCTAGCTATCAAAGCAATCACAGGAAACCTTTTGTCAACACCAATGACTGGTGGTTTCCATGGACGATTCTCTAGTCCTGATTGACTGGTGCTCTATTCATTTTACCCTACATTATCACATATTCAACATGGTTGACAAGACAATGTGGTTTTTACTTGCAACAGCGAAAATGTCAGTATGGGCCCGCTTCATGTCATTCTGCATATCTATTGGTTACACAAATCTACATTACAAGGTGAAGCTTGACCTCAGCTGGCACATTCTGCTCTGCTTTTTTCAACACTGTGACAAACCATCATTGCACAGCACAGGCCATAGAAAAGAATCGCTTCTAGGGTTCTTGCATTCTATGTGAAAGGCCTTAAGGATCATCAACCATCTGTCATCTTGAAATCTGACAAATCCAAGTCTGCTTTACCCATGTCTAGTGGTTAGTATGCCCTGTTACTGGAACATTTTATTTCCTTGACTCATTATACCACCAAAATGTAAGAGTTTAAAAGAAACACATACGAGACACACTAAATTCTCAGACCAAAATGTTGAAAATAACTGATGTTATCTAAATGTTTGCATTAGCAAATTGTCAGTTTATCGTATTTTCCTTTGCTGTCATGTCTCTGCTGTTGTTCTCTTATAACCACCTCTTTCTTTTTGTCCTGCCCCTCCTCCCCCTGATTCCAGCAGCCGTTTCTGGAGGTGAAGGTTCTTGAGACAACCAAACGTTCTCGGAGAAACCTCGGCCTGGACTGCGATGAGCACTCCACTGAGTCTCGCTGCTGTCGCTACCCTCTAACTGTGGACTTTGAGGCGTTCGGCTGGGATTGGATCATTGCCCCTAAACGCTACAAAGCGAACTACTGCTCTGGCCAGTGCGAGTACATGTTCATGCAGAAATACCCGCACACCCACCTGGTGCAGCACGCCAACCCGCGAGGCTCCGCGGGGCCCTGCTGCACCCCAACCAAGATGTCTCCCATTAACATGCTCTACTTCAATGACAAGCAGCAGATCATTCACGGCAAGATTCCAGGGATGGTGGTGGATCGATGTGGCTGCTCTTAGGCTGCTGGAGGAAGCACATTTGTGTAAAGCCTACATTAAACCACCTGAAACCCTTTCTGAGCTCTCCCCTGGCACCAGAACCCACTCCTCGGCACCAGATTTCACTTCTGCTCAGCCACAAAAGCATTCCACTGGGTTTCCATTTGTCCAGTAATTAAACTGATTCTAACTGTACAAAAAAGTTATAAATGAAATAAGAATCAAAACAGAACTGAGTGATGGAAATACCATACATTATGAATGATTTTAAGAGGCTGTACTTGTGGAGCAGCTTTCGAAAGTGGTAAATGAGGCGCTATAGGACATGTGTTAGTTTTGTGGGTTTTTAAAATATTTTTTTAATGACATCTTTGTGAAATATCCAGGTTAGTGGATTGAAATGACAGGAGACAGGAGTATTTACACTTTTAAGAGCAATTCCAGTTTTGAGGTGAGTTCGCAAATACTTCATTCCACAAATGCGTTTACTTCCAGTGTGATAAAAATGTTCTCAAAGGGGCATTATCAAAATTATTTTGCAATCCATCACTTTAACAAAAGCTCAGAAACAAAAACAAACACGATGTGAATAGGTTTAACTTCTGGACGTACCATTAGAGGAAATCCAAAATCTTCCTAAGAGTATTAGAGATATCCAAAAAAAAAAGAAACAAACAAACAAACAAAGAAAATAAAACTGCACCCTCTTTTAATGTGTATTACCTGAGTTTGACATTTTCAAGTATCTCCAAAATCTCTCCACGGCAACTTTGATTTGTTTTGTTTGTTTGTTTGTTTTTAGATTTTTGTAATTAAATATTAAGAAAGGGTTATACAGATGGTCCATAACATGTTATGTAATATGTAATTTGGCCTCTGTAATGAGAGAGGCTTTCAAATCAAACCCTTAGGATGTGATTCAAGTTCAGCCTTAATTTAAGGGGTTTAACAAAAGTATGGCGTTAACTGTTTAGGAACTATTTTCATATATAGTTCCCCATTTTCAGTGGTTTAAAATTAACTGCGTAAATTATTATAGTTTAAATATAAGAATTGTTTTAATAGTTGAATTTTTGAATTGAACTATTTTTTGAATAGTTGAATACTAAAATGCAGTCTACAGTAAAAGCTACCCTCTGAGATGCATGCTCTACTGCAGTGATGGGGAACTCCAGGCCTCAAGAGCTGATGTCCTACAGGTTTTAGGGCTCACCCTGGGTCAACACACCTGAATCTAATGGTCAGTTCATTACCAGGCATCTGGAGAACTTCAAGACATGTTGAGGAGGTAATTTAGCCATTTAAATCAGCTGAGTTGGATCAAGGACACATCTAAAACCTGCAGTCCGTAAATTGTCCAATTACTTTTGAGCCTTTGAAAGCTATGGAAACTATGGGTATGAGAACTATGATAAAAATGAATGAATTCCTAAACAATTAATTAATATCCTGAACTTCAATCACATCTTGCTTGTTTTATTTAAAATCCATTGCAGTGGTGTAAAGGGGCAAAAATCTAAAAACCATCTTAGTTCAAAAATCTATGGACCTAACTTTACTAGTTCAGCTCCACATTTAAAAACAGATACATAAACTCAGTATTGCTGTTAACCATTTGGCAAAAAAGAGTTTACCTTGCACACTGAAGTCTAAAGAAAAACTGAAATCCAGATGCACCAAGTTATTCAGTACTGTTTTGGGGAGAAGGAAGAGGGCAGGCTTTGCCTTTTTTTTGTTTTTTGTTTTGTTTTGTTTTTAATTTATCCAACAAAGGAAAATCTCGTTCAGCTTTTGCAGTAAATGTTTAAAACAGAGAGTTAAATGCACTGTTTTATAACTTGAAGAGGCTCGGGACTGAATATGTAATAAAAATTAAAAAAAATAACAAAACAACAAAATGCATACCCTGAAATAAAAGACTCAATGCTCACTATGTCCTAAGTGAATAATTGAGCTGAAATTAACACAAACCACGATTACAGTTTTATCACTTTAAGTTTACATTTCTTTTTGTGCAGTGTTTGTGGTAGATGCATTACTCCTGACACACCAGTTCATGCTTGTTCTTTTTTTTTTGCTAGTTTCAGAATGGATAAAAATACAAATGCAAAAGTGCAGTAATGTACTAAGACATTTTAGCTTTTATGATTTACAGCAAAGAAAACAAACAAAAAAAAAGATAATTTAACTCAACCACTGATTTTAGCTTCGAAAACATATTTGACTGCATTTTGAAATGCCCCCATCCACATCAACCTCAACTGTATCATCGCTGTCATAATGGGAAAAAAAAGTATTTGTTAGTGCTTGAACGCAGAGTAGAATTAGTATGCTTGAAGCTTGTCTTTGTCTCCTGGGTATCAAAGCAAAGATATCCTTTTGTTATAAACGAAAGCACTATGCTGTTGGATAAAGGAAGAGCCTTCTGACATTATATATAAATGATATATGTATATATTAAAAAAAGAGGGGTACAAAAACCTTTTTGGGGGCACTCTACCTTACCAACAATAAATTTTGCACTATGGGACGTTCATGGCGTGAGGAGGTAAGTGTTGTGTTTTACCAAGCACAAGAGAGCTTGTACAGTATAGGTTAAAAAAAAAGAAACTATTCAAGCTTCTGGTGATGAACCATAAACTAGCGAGGTTATCACTTCTTTTGGATGCCATCACACTTTCCTGACTTTGTCTGAAGCGGGGGCCTGTCCATACACTCACAGATCTCTATCAAATCTTGAACCTGGATGTACTGTAGCAGCGGCCTGAAAGGCCTCCACGCCCGCTTTGGCTGATAAGTCTTGTGCGTAATAAGTGTCTGGATCAATGACTGTAGAATGCTTTAACTGGAAAAGGCCCGCCCATCAACTTTAACCTGTCACCGCATTAGAGAGACTTCATTCTTTTGACGTAAAAAAAAAAATGAGTCGAGTGTCTTACGTAGAAGTTTGGGGGGGATTTTATATTTTTTGGTTTTGTTTGTTTGCTTTTGCCTTTGTGTGTGTTTTAAGTGAAAGCACCCATGTAAGAATGGGAGGAGTACCCAGGGACTGTTAGCCAAAGTAGAGAATGACATGTTGTGTGCTGTAACTTTTATAATTGCAGGAATATGCTAGAAAATTTCAAAGGGAGGGAAAAAAGTTGGTTTAGGGGCAGTGGTTGGGTTAAAAAAAAAAGAAAAAGCTGGTCCATTTTTATTTATTAATATTAAATACAATGCATTTCAAAGTCTGTCTACCTCACGTTAGCCTAAAAATTTGCTATCAGTTTATCAGAAACTTTTACTCATAAGAACATCCCCACCCCCACCCCAACCTTCCAAAAACAGATGAAAACCACAGGGTCCCCTTGCTCTCAGGTTCAGATTGAGTTATTGACAGAGTGACTGATGGTACCAGTTCTGGTAACGCGTGGTCAAAATATTAACTATGGTTAACGCTGTTGAGAAGTTACATTTTGAATTTTAGTCTTTGTATACTGGTATATGTAAGAGGGGTTTTTTTTCCATATAATTATATGAGAGTAAGAAATGTAAATACCAACCCAAATGTTGACATTTATGATGTTTTGGACAGGTTCACCGCTTCTAATGTTTTTCTCTCTTTCCCTCTTCATCCCTCTGTTCTTTGTGTAGTTAAAGAAAAAGAAAAATCACCCCACGTTTGTAGTTCTATGGTTGTGCATATGAGTAACTGTTCAATTATTTTTGCCTTTTGTTGTTTATTTACTGTCATTTTTCTTTTGTACAATAAATCATTTATTTAGCTTATGCTGCTTTTGTTGTTCTTAAGGTTTGCATCTGCGCAAATGGGAAACTTCGGACCACGCAGAATAAAATGAACTAGTTCACAATCAAAGTCCACGCTTTAAAATACAGAACCAAGTTCACAAACTAAAAATGAATTAGTCCACCTGCATGTTTTAGCTATTCTTTTTCAAAAGAACCTCAACCTGCCATCCTAAATACTCTATTTTCTCTTCAAAAATGAAATAAATTACTGTTTACTACTATAGAATCACAGAAAGATAAATGCAAAGAAATGTACAAAACACAGTCTTTCAATTTTACATTTTTATTTATCAGGACATAATAATGATCCAGCCCTTAGCAGCTCTTACAATTATGTAAATACACTGCAGTAAGAAAGATAATTCAGAAGTGGAAAACATTCAGTTTCAGGGAAACTGCAAAAAATCCAAGAGCTACAGGCCTCAGTTAGCATCTTAAATATTAAAGTTCATGACAGTACAGTTCAAACAGACTAAACAAGTATGG